CTTTGAGGAAGGAACTTAGGTTTCTAGGCCCTGAACCCTGCAGGCAGGAAAGTGTTAAGAAAGAAATGTGCATTTCCACTGAACAAGAAAATCAACTTAGAAAAGAAATGTGTATTGGAAAATATCTATTTGCCTGCAAAATAATGTAAAAATAATGAGCTCCTATTCCCCTTTGATGTGCAGCGCACGCTTTTAAGGAAAGATTCTGCATTTCTGAGATACTGGGCCTGGCGTGTAATGAAGTGGTTGTTATGGCAACAACTTTCAAAAGCAAGTATTTTCTGAGAGATGTGCTCCACACAGCCAGCGTGAGAGAGGAAAACATGAAAACAGAGACAGGGAGATGAGCTCAACAGAAAGCATGAGATGCCAAGAGCTGCATTCTGTGCCTGAGGGGGAGGGAAGTGCTCCCCTCATCACCACCCTGGCCTGGCTTTGCAAACTGCAGGGGAAGCCAGGCCCCTGCCCTGGAAGGGGTCCCCATGAGGAATGGGGGTGGGAGACAGGGTTTGGGGCTGAGGCGTCGTCTCTTACCTGGAGATGCAGCCTCAGTCTGGGGGCTGCGTGACCAACTGCTCTCCACGATCCCCTCCAAGCCGGCCTCCCAGCCTCAGCCTCAGCCCCTGCCACCCTTCTGTCAGCTCCCTCCTGGCCTCCATGCTCCAGGGTACCAAAGGCCCCCATTTATTCCAGAGCTCAGTCTTCCCACTGACACTCGGTTGAAGGGACCTCCCACTCACTCTACTCCCTTTGCGTCCCTGAGGGCCCTGCCAACCCAGTGCCCAGCGTGTGCAGACATGATGCCGAGAGCTGGTGTTCATCGTCTCTTCTGTCTTCACGGCAAGCCCCAGTGCCTAGAACAGTGCCTGGCACAGAGAGGCTGCTCAGTCTCTGTTGTTGAGGAATGGATGGTCCTTCTCTGGTGCTACAGCTATTGTCCCCATTCTACAGATGAGGAATTGAAGCTCAGAGATGTTAAGTGACTTGCCCAAGCCCTGAAGACCGTGAGCAGAGGAGCTGGGCCGCCCACACTCCTGCATGGCACTCTCTCTCAGTACCCCCCACTTATCAGCCTCCCTGTCTTTGTTCATGTTGTGTTTCTGCCTGGTAACCCCTTCTTGTGTCCTGCAAGGCCTAGCTCAAAGGCCACCTGACCGTGATGTTTTGAGAAAGCCACCTCTAAACTAGATCCTTGGGTGTGTCAAAGCCCAAAGATAGGACCCTCACAACTTGCTGTTGAGTCTGGGCAGAGCTGCTTCTGGGCTCGGTGTCTGTCTGTTCACCACTCTCCCCACAATGCCTGGCGTAGGGAAGGTATTTGGCAGCCTTTAGTTGAATAAAAGAAACTTTAGAACCCAGATAGTCCTGGAAATCCTGTTGGGTCAGTTGCCAGGTTTCTGAGATCCTGGGAGCTCCCCTGGCCAAAGCTGAATCCTGCTCCCATCCACCCCAGCTCACATTTGTGTGTGTGTGTGTGTGTGTGTGTGTGTGTGTGTGTGTGTGTGCCCATTCATCTGCAAATGCATGTGTGCATGGCCTCTTTGAGGGGGATTTGCTCTAAAAGGGTCTGGGGCTACATGTGTGTGTGCTTATGCACTGGGCTGAGGGAGAAGGGGGTGTGCACAAGGCTTTGAGGGTATCTCTTCTCTAGAGGGGCGTGTGTCTAGATGTGTGTGTGTGTGTTTCATATGCATGTGTGAGACTGCGTCAGTGTGTGCACTCCTGGTCTTGATGTAGGATTTGTGTGTGCGCGCGTGCGTGTGTGATATGAAGGAGTGTGCTGCAGGGAGATGTGGTATAAATATGTGTGTAAGGCATGTGGCTGGGGATGTATGGGTGGATGCATGGGGAGAGGGGTGTATGCATTCAGGGGCTGCTGCATTTACCAGGCAGAGGCAGAAGGAGCCCACAGAAGATGGGTTGTATTTTCAGTTCAAGGCTTCTGGCTAACCTGCAACCACAGAGAGAAGACTCTGCCATCAGACTGTCTTCTGGATCATAAAATGGGAGAGAGCTGGAAACAGCTTTGGAAGTCACCTTGTTCTATCCCTTCTGTTGTACCTCATGAAAAACAGAGAGGGGAAGCAACCTCTGGAGGTCACACAGCATACTCAGGATGAAGCTGGAACTTGGACTTGTATCTGGGTCTGGGCTCCCTCATGCCCCCAGGCTGCTGCCAGGTCCCTGGGGAGGAGGGAGAGGGTTAACCACAGAGTAATTAATATCAGGCACCAGAGTATTCTACAATTCCATTCCCACTTTAATTAGGGGAACTTTTTTTTTTTTTTTTAATAGAAGTCTTTGTTGTGTCAATTAGTTGATTGACTATCACTGGTTTCTAGGTTAGGGAAACTTGATCTGCAGTGAATGAATTTGTTTATCAGGGAAAAGGAGCCAGGGGATGGAAAAAGAAATTCAATTAAGTGTCAGGCTGCTGAGTGACAGGTTGCATTTGATAGGACTTTTAGCTTAATTGCTTGTATTTCATTAAGAGATTTATTTATCAAGAGAATTCTTCATGTTAAAATCTCAGGCACTGTCTGAGTGGCTTCTGGCTATTTTTCTGCATTGATTGAGGACGCGAAAATGTGGACCTGAAGAATTACCTGGGGCCTCAGAAACATTCTTGTGTCTAAGACCCTCTGAGCCTGGCTGCTGGGGCTGGCAGTCCCCTCATCCTTCCCGTCCCAAAGTTGCATTCAGAGTTTGGAAAGGGTCTGCATTTCTCTGAGGAAAAGTATGCATATTTCTCTTAGATTTTCAAAGGGATATGAGTCCCAAAGAAAGTAACACCCAATAGGTTGACATCCTTTTGTTCTTTGCTGCTTCCCCCCACAAACCAGGTTTTATTTCACCCACATTTGTAAAATGGTACATGAAGGCAGTTCTAGAAACTAAATATTACTAAGTAGTAAATGACTTTCAAAATAAGTATTGTTAAGAATAAAGTCATCCCTATAAGCTTTAATTTAGAGAAATGATTACTACCAGTTGTTTTCAGAATGTCAGAAAGGCCCCCCAAAATGGATGCATTCTAAATCAAATGGGTCTTGCTGTCCTAGAAGTAAATAAATCATATGTGATGTGACTCATGCAAGCGGTTTTTCCCGAAGTCCCCCTGCTCCTGCTCCTGAGAATTGCCCAATGTGTAATTTATAATAGTTGTAGGGAGTGATCACATTGTATTATAAATGAGAAAACCAAGGCTCAGAGAACGCAAAAGGTTTTTCTAAGGACGCAGAGCCAGCCAGGGGCAGAACCAAGATGAGTACATGTTCCTCTTGCTGTTTTTCCAACAATCTGGCTTTCTGTAGGGCTAGATTTCTGGGCTTAAGGCGGGGCTTAAGGCCCGCAGGGGACAGTTCAGCTGGTCGCTCCTTCTTTTCCTTCTGCTCTATCAAGGCAAGAGAGTAGAGTGGTTAGGACTGAGATCACCTGGACCTCCTGCTTACTAGGTGACCTTGGATACCTGCCTCCTCCCTTCTGATAAACTGATGATAATAAGATTATCTGTCTCACCGGTTTGTTGGGAGGATTCAATGGGGCATTCCATGCAAGGTGCTTGGACTGTATTCATTACACAGTAAATGCTTAATAAATATTAGCCTTAATTATTGTGTTTTCCAGGTAAGATTTCATGTGGAAAGAAAAAGTTTTCTAATTCTTAAAAATAATTGAGGACTACTGTTCTGCATTATGTGAACCCCACCCTCCACCCCACACCCCCATCCTTAAAAAGAAATAATTTACTCCAGCAAATGGGTGGATTCAGTCCTAGTCCATGATGACTGATGACTGGTGGTGAACCCAGGTCTCCTGCTCCTCAGGCTTTGCTCTCTCTGGCATTGCCTGGTTCCTGAGTATTTTTATTTTCTTCTCTAGGTGCACATTTATTTATGGTTCTCCTTCCCTCCTTCTTTCCTTCTTTCCTTCCCTTTTATTTCTCTCCATCTTCTTTCCCTCCCTCCCTCCCTCCTTCCTTCCATCCATCCATCCATTCATCCACCCAGTGGAGCACAGGAGCTGCTCGTAGACTTGTATGCACCAATTTGGCCCATGTCTTTCCAACTCTGTGTTCAGTGATGTCATCTTGGTAGCTTGAAATCAGCCATGATGGGAGTATTTACAGTATGGAAATTGGAGGGCAGTACAAGTGAGGGCTTTTTTTGCTTTTTTTGTTTTTTTTGATAGCTATTTTCCAGCACACCATTGCATCCATCCATCCCTCTTTCGTTCATCCATCTCTTTGTATGTTCAGACATGGACCCACCAAGCCATTGCCCATCCAACCATCCAACCATCCAGCAAGTATTACACTTCTTGTGGGCCAGGCCCTGCACAAGATCCACTGGGAGGGCAGAATTGGTCAGAGCCTCTTCCCTTCCCTTGAAGAATTGACATTTTAGTGGAACAGACACTTTACATCTGTCTCACATTCAAGGATTGTCCTGGACATCATTTCATTTGATGACCATGGGGTTGGTATTGTTATCTCAGTGTAACAGTTGAGGAGATTAAGGCTCAGAGAGGTTAAGTGAATTGCTTGAGGTCACACAGCTGGCTGTACATTCATTTGTTTATTCCTATGACAGGGCATGATATTCCCCTTACCAACTCAGATCCAGCCAGAAAGTCAAGGTGAAAACAGATTTTCAAACCTGTCCTTCAGAAATAAGCCTTCTTTAAAAAAAATAGAAAGAAAAGGGAAGAATAGGGAAAGTTATTTTTCCATCTTGCTTAGATGGGGACAGTTTTGAATTTATTTTTTCAGATTGAACAATCGTTCCTCAAATGGATAGTGATAGGTGATCTAAAAAATAATCTTTAAAAACGTCGCCGAGTTGGGCATTTCCTCCGGGTGACATAACTCACTGTGACAGAATGCATTTAAATTCACGGAAAAGAAATTGAAAGGGGTGCAGTGTGGAAGGTGTTTGTGTGGACTGCCAGGCTCTTAACCCTCTCCTTTTACCTTCCCCACCCTCTCCCCATTGCTGCAGGCCGGTGGGCGCTCCTGTCGCTGTCCCCCTCTCGCCTTCCACTCGGATCCACAGGCACAAGCCCCGAAAGCACTTCCTTTGTGGATGGCAGGTCCCAGAACAGGGCCAGCCAGTAGGCCTGGGGAGAGGGTGTGGATTTCCTGATGGGCCAGAGAAAGAGGTGTTCAGACCTGTCAGAAGGTGATGCTCTCTCTTTCTCTCTGGTTCTTATCTGTTCGCATTGCATGTCTGTTCCCCCACATGGTTAATGTAGTAACAAGGAGTGGGCTTTGCTTTGGGAAGGCTAGGATGAGGCCAGATGGGGTCTGGGTCAAGGCCTTGCTGCTGAACTCAGAGCACCTGTCCACAAAATCTCCCTGGTTTGGTGGGTGGCCTCCCGCCAAGAAGCAGAGCTCCAGGGCCGTGCTAGGGTTGCTGGCAACAGTTTTGACAGACAACATGGTGCTCAAGACCCTGAAGGGTCTTTGTGTGATATTTTCATTGCACTTCCCAAAGCATGTTCTGTTAGCTGTACACTGATTTCTCTTTTCCTGCCTCCTGTTTGCCATTGTGGCTCTGGCAAAAGAAGGTGGAAGGTGTCATCTTGAGAAAGAAGAGGTGGATCTGGTGCAAGGCAGTGTGTTAGGCCAGGTGTTCTAGAATCAGAACCTGAGATGGGGCCTCTGGTAAGAGCGATTTATGGCAGGGTGTTCTTGGGAGGGAAGGAGTGAGGCCAGCCTCAGCCTAACCCCACGAGGGGCTCTGGAACATGAATTGTATCACTGAGTTGGTCCCCACTTGAGACAAGGGGGCTGGCATTTGTACCCCATGCCATTTAGTCAGTGGCCACTGGATGTCACTGACTGGGGAGGAGAAGTAATCTCGAAGGTGAGGTAGATCCCGCCAGAGGCAAGTCTCCAAGAAAGGGGACACTGTTAGCCTTAGCAGCCAACACTCACAAGATCTGGGGATTGGGGATCCTGGTCCAGCAAAGGAGATGCAGCTTGGGAACCCTCGGCTTATATCAGAGGGAGAGCCCAACAAGACAGGAAAAGGAAGGGAGGGACTGTTGTACTTCCTGGCCCAGTAGCTTGTGGGATGGAGATGAGAAACAGAGGACAAGCAAGTATGGAGGCCCATGCGTCATGCAGGACCTGCCCTCCTTGGCCTGGAGGTAGGCTGGAGAGGCACTGAGCCCTCCTGTAGGAGGCCTCTGCTCAGCTTCCTGTCTGGGGTGCCAGGAGGACATAGCTATGTAGAAAGGCCCTTGAAGGGTGAAGAGAGCAGCAAGGTGAGGTCAGGCCGAGGGTTCAAGCCAAAAGCCTGTCACAAGACAGCTGTGGTGAGAGGTTGGGGGTCTGTAGCAAAGGCTTCTGCCAGGGGATGTCTGGGGCCATATGGTGCTGCAATGCTGATACCAGTTAAGGAGGGGCTAGAGATACTCTGAGAAGACACCAGCTCCGATGTCTGATGGAGGCCAGATGACAGGCTTAGTAACTGCTAACAGAGTGTCTGGGACCAGGCTGTGTGATAGCCACCGCTGGTGTTGCACCTACCAGTCATTCACGCTCCCCCCTCCCACTGTGTGGAGTTACTGCCAGGAGGTGGCAGCCCACATAGGGACTCTATTTCCCAGTTAACCTTGCGTCTGTGTCTGGCTGGTGACAAGTCCTCACCAACAGAATGTGAGTGGAAGTCATGTGTGTCACTCCTGAGTGGTAGATTTTAAGAAGTGGATGGGAACTTCTCTCTATTCTTCCAGTGGCTAGAAGAAGACTCTGGTGGTCCAAGAGGCTGGCAGAACCAAAACCGGGAGGAGCCTGGGTCCTTGAATCATTACATGGAGGAAAGGTCCATAGACCTTGGGAAAGGTCCCATAGACTAGGAATTGCCTCGTTGGACTACTCTGTGAGCAATATGGGGAGAGTTGAAGCCATTGAAATTTGGGGGCTTATTTGTTACAGAAACTAGTGTTGTCCTGACCATGACAGGCCTGACCAGGCATCTCCAGCAGACCACATGATGCCCATATCAGCACTGGCGCAGGAGCGGCTCCTCACTCACTTCCACCCTCCACTGCCACTCTCCAGGGGCAAAAGTTCACATAGAGCTCCCTTTCAATACTCAAGTGCCATCTTGGAAAGGAGGAGGTGAGGGAAGAGATCAGAAAGACTTACTCATTAAAGAGAAACTGAGGGGTGCCTGGGTGGCTCAGTCAGTTAGGTGTCCGACTTCGGCTCAGGTCATGACCTCGCAATTCATGAGTTCGAGCCCCATGTTGGGCTCTGTGCTGACAGCTCAGAGCCTGGAGCCTTGTTGGGATTCTGTGTCTCCCTCTTTTTGCCCCTCCCCCACTCGTGCTCTGCCTCTCTCTCAAAAATAAGTAAAAATTTAAAAAAGAGAGAAAACTGAGGTGAGAGATTGGTTAAATATTTGCTGCTCAAAGTGGTGTCCCTGGACAAGCAGTGTCAGCATCACTGGAACATATCAGAAATGCAGACTTTCAGGTCCTACTTGGGCCTCCTGAATCAGAATCTGCATTTTAAAAAGACCCCCAGGTGATTTGCGTGCACATTACAAGCTTGACAAGCTCTCCTCAGAGAAAGGTATTACATCTGAAAATGTGCCTCTTGGCTGGACAGACAGCTGAAGAGCAGACAGGGTATTCATTCATTTATTCTTATATTTATTAGTTTGTTTGTTCTTTCAATCTGTTACTATTTACTGAACATCTACTATTTTCCAGGCAATTTCCTGGAGAATCAAGGCAGATACAGACTCTACCCTCTAGGAGCTTGTCTGTTGGGAAGTAGGGAGGGGACAGACATTAAACATCATATTATATGAGTAAATATGACTATGAGAAGTAGTACAAAGAAAATGTTCAGGTGACAAAGTATAAAGTGACATGCTTCCTGACTTGGCCTGGGGGCTCAGTGAAAGCTTCTGACAAAGTAACAATTAAAGAGATCTGAAGGAGAAGTCAACCAGGTGAAGAACGGGGTCAGCCGTGTTCTAGGCAGAAGAAACAGTATGCACAAAGGCCCTGATCTCTAAGGAAGAACCTTAGAGATCTTGAATAGTTAAAAACAACAGCGACAACCCAGTCCTTGTTTTGAACTTGAGTAAGAGAGAGGAGGGCGAGATGGGATGGAAAGGTAGAGGTAGGGGGGAGACCCTATAGGCCTTGTAGGCCAGGAGAAGGATTTTGGACTTTATCCTAAGAACACAAGGGAATTTATTTATTTATTTATTCATTCATTCATTCATTCATTCATTTATTTAAAAGTAGGCTCCATACCCAGTATAGAGCCCAATGTGGAGCTCGAACTCATGACCCTGAGATCAAGACCTGAGCTGAGATCAGGAGTTGGATGTTTAGCTGACTGAGCCACCCAGGCACCCCAAAACCACAAGGGAATTTAAATCCTGGCTCAGCCACTTACTAACTAGCTGTGAGATGGTGGGCAAGTTACTGAACCCCCAGCACTCCAATTTTCTCATCTGTAAAAGGAGAACAACACAGTGCCTATTTCATATCAGAGGGTAGTTTTTAGGATTAAATGAGTCAATATATGTAAAGGGCTTATACAGTGAATGGCAGATAAGAATTTGCAATTACTGTTGAAGAGTTTTAATCAGGAGAGTCATGTGATGAGGTTTATGCTTCAAGAAATCCCTCGCTACTGCATGAGGGAAAACTAGGCTGCAGAGGGGAAAGGCTGAAGGCAGAGGGCCAGTGAGAAGACTGTGTCACCCAGGAGTGAGATGATGGCTATCTCGACCAGGCTGGAAGCAATGGAGACAGGACGCATGACTAGGAATTGGTGACTTGAGGACTGTGTGCAGGAGGGCTGAGGTGGCTGGGATAGGAGTCAGGGATGGCTGCCAGGGTGCTAAGTGGGATGGGAGTTGGTGGGTGGGAGTGCCAGGCTTTTACTGGAAGCCGATGAGTTAAATTTTGGACATGCTGAGTCTGAGATGCCCATGAGACATGAAGATGGAGATCTTGAACAAGGAGACCAGATGCTGGGGCTGCAGAAACTATTTGGGAGCTGTTAACATATGGATGGCAGTTAAACCACTGGGAAGAGATGGAAGTACTCAGAAAGAGCATGTAGCGTTTGAAGAGTTTAGATTCAAATCTCCAGCAGCTGTATGGTTTAGGGAGAGTTACTTAGCATTTCTGAGACCCAGTGTCAGCTCTGAAAAGTGAGGCTGATGATACCTGCACCAAAGAGTTGTGTGGGATGCAAATGAGATAATGTATGAGACACCTAGCACTTAGCTCAATCAGTATTAATCCCTTCTCTCAGTCTAGCCCCCGTCCTCACTCATCACACACATTCTTTTCCCACCTTGGCTTCTGAAGCAGCCTGCGCCCAGGGCACACTGCTGGTCTGCTTGTACCTGCTGCCCAAGGGCTGAGCCCAGAGTGGTTAGTGTCCAGATGGGAGCATCGTGGACCAGCGGAGACCGTCACACACGCACAGAGTGAATCCTGCTGTGACATGAACACTGGCCTCTGAGCCAGTGGGACTTGATTCAAGTGTCATCTCTGCCTCCCACTTTCTTGAGGCCTCAGGTAAGTCCTTGCGCCTTCCAGAGCGTCAGGCACTTCATCTGCATGGTGAGGAGTTAGGTGATCCTGCTCTGTGTTAGTTTGCTAGGGCTGCTGTAATGAAGTGCCACAAACCAGGTGGCTTCAAATGACTGATATCTGCTCACAGTTCTGGGGGCTGGAAGCCTAAAATCAAGGTGTCAGCAGGGCCATGATCCTCTGATACTCTGTGTAAACTCTTTCCTTGAGTCTTTTTAGCTCCCTGTCCTTGGTGTCCCTGGCTTGCGGCTGCATGACTCTGATCTCTGCCTCTGTCCTCACAGTGGCCTTCTCCTCTGTGTGTATCTCTGTGTCTCTTCTTATAAGGACACCAGCCGCCCTACTCCAGTATGCCTTCATCTTAACTAACTATATCTACAGTAACCCTGTTTCTGAACAACATCACATTTTCAATTACTGGGGTTAGGACTTCACCGTATCTTTTTGGTGGGATACGTTTCAACCCCATAATACATTCCTAGTCTTTGTAGAATTTCCTCTGAATTTGTAGAAAGTGAGGAGGAAAAAAATCTCCATGGAGGAGAAAGCTGGGGAATGTTAATTATATTTTTACTTGTTAGAAAACAGTTTTCTGATGGCTAGAAATACACATTCTCTCTGTTAATTATGGTCTCCTTGTGGCAGGTAATCATTGGAGGTAAAAGGGCCTTTTATTGAGAGAACAAACAGAAAGGCAAGTGCTAGACCCTGCTACCCCTGGGAAGAAAATGTTTGTGCTTAATTGGAAAAGGCAAACTTTTTCTGCCCTCTGTTCTGTCTGTCACATTCTGTCTAGCATGGGGGCAGGGCTGGGGGCAGGGTTGGGCGGACTTGTCTTTCTCCTCGCCCCTGTTAAACTGGACCACTAGACATCATTCGCCTTCTCCTGTAGAGGCAGCCATTCCCCTTTGCTGTCCTGCTTCAGGGAAAAACCACCTTTGACTGTGGGAGGCTCTGGTGTCCTCACGGCCCGTACAGCACCCTACTGGTCCACTCCATTGACAAGGTCATGTAATTGACCGTGGAGATTGATAAGAGGCCCATATCCTAGGGCTCTTGTTGAGCCTCAAAAATTCATGGGCCAGTTGTGCTCCTTAGTATTGTACCCAATGACTTGAAAAGTTATGTCCACATAAAAATTGTGCACAAATGGTTATGGCAGTTTTATTCTTAATTGCCAAAACTCAGAAGCAACCAAAATGCTCTTTAGTGGCTGAGTAGATAGACAACCTGTGGTACATATATCTGCTCAATGAAACGTTATTCAGCAATTAATTCAGTGATTAAAAAAAAGAGTTATCAAGCCATAAAAAGACATGAAGAAACCTAAGGCATGTTGGTAAGTTAAAGGAGTCAGTCTGGAAAGGCTACATATTGTGTGATTCCAGCTACACGACAGTCTGGAAAGGACAAAACTATGGAGACAGGAAAAGATCAGTGATTGCCAGGGATTGGGAGGAGTGGAGGAAAGGGGGCATTTTCAGGGCAGTGAAACTATTTTGTATAACACTGTAGTGGTGGGTGTGTGACATCATGTGTTCGTCAAAACGCATAGAATCTTCAACACAAAGAGTGAACCCTAATTAAACTATGGAGTTTAGTCATTAATAATGCATCAGTATTTGGTTTGTCAATTTTAATAAATATGCTACTCCGTGCAGCGTGTTAATAGTAGGGGCCCTGTGTGGAGGAGCGAAGGGGGTTTATGGAGCCTGTGTACTTTCTGCCCAGTTTTCCTGTAAACCTACAACTGCTCTAAAAAATAATGTTTGTTAATTAAAAAACAAACCTTGTGGCCATTCACTTTCGGGACGCTCCTGGGGCTACAGGTGTGGGGCCTCTTGCAATTTCTTCTGTGAAGCAAGAGGCACCCATGCCCAATGTGGCTCTTCACATCTGGGTGGCCTGTTTCAGTCAGTGAGTGTGCTGTCCTGCTACCAGCCGTGCCTGGCACCGCAGGCAAGAGGAGGCCCCGCAGTGGGACCAGACAGCTGTGTGAGCGACCCTGCCTCTTGACGGTCTGGCAGCACATCAGGATGCTGTTCACAGCTGGTGGAAAGTTTTGAGAGTTCCCTCAGGGTCAGGGAGGGACTGGGGCATGGCAGGTAGGACAGTTGCCTTGGGCACAAAATTTAAGGGGATGTCCCCCAAAACTCAGTAGTCAATATGGATAATATTTTTAACTCTGTGTTTTAGCAAAGGAAAAATGAAGGTAGAAATATCCTTATCAGAATGTCAGAACTGTAAGTAAAGACAGGGTTTGACCCTGTGCTCGCGTGACTTGGCCTCATTTGCCTCTCCCTTACCTTGGCCCTGTCAGATCTTGTCTTTATTTAATGTTCTGACATTTGATTTATCACAGGGTATTTTATACGAATTTTTATTTTAAAAATCATTTCAACAAAGTATTTCTTGTCTCACTTGTTGAGATTTTGGGCACTTTCCTTCAGTTTTGTGCCCAGGACAAGTATCCCATGCCTCTCAGTTGTCAGGTTAATATATTCATTCAGAACATATTTATTAAGTATCTACTATGTGCCATTTACCAGTGGGTGAGATAACTTGCCCCATGGCTGTGGGCCTTCTTCCTTCCTGGGCAAACTGCCATTGCTCAGGGAGATCATGGCCAAGTGGCCACAACAGGCTGCATGTACCCCACACCCAGACTTCCTGGACTGCCTCCACTGCTCAGTGCTCAGTGCTTCAGCAGCAGATGTCCAATCCCAGCCCTCGATGGGGTATCAGACCTCATTGAGGGGACCTGGTGGCAGAATGGTTAATAGGCCCTCATTTGCATTGGAGGGGAAGCAACTGGTCTTAATGGAATAGACACTTACTCTGGATTTCCTTTCCATCAGGTCCTGGCAGCATCCCCATCCACAAACTTGTTAAATGCAGCCATAGCTACAGTATTCCCTCTGGCCACAGTAAGAGGAGTGAGGTGCTCATGGGATTTGCTATTTTTACCGTGTAGATGCAGAAGCAGCCAGCCTAGTGGAAAGGGAAGTGGCCTGTTGAAGACTTAGCTCTGCCAACTTGAAGGCTGGGCTGCTGTTCTGCAGGACACGGTATATGCTATGAAGTAGCAACTGGTATCTAATGTTTTGTCTTCCTTGGCCAGAATATGCAAGTTCTTCCCCTTGACCCTGGAATCATTTTTTTAATGTTTTTTTTTTTTTTTTTTTTTTGCTTCGAGAGAGAGAGAGCATGCACACACAAGCTGGGAAGGGGCAGAGAGAGAGGGGGACAGACAATCCCAAGTGGGCTCTGCAATGACAGCAGAGAGCCCAATGTGAGGCTCGAACTTGTGAACACTTAACCAACAGAGCCACCCAGGTACCCAGACTCTGGAGTCCTTTTATGCAGAGACCTGGAGTTGGAGCTGAAACTTGCCCAAGTCACTTCCCTACCCAGCAGTCCAGCCCCTTAACCTGTGTCCCTGTGTTGGCATCTACGATTTTTCACCATCTTCCTCTTGCAGCCGGGGTTGGCCCACAGACTTTTGGGAGCAGCCTAGATTCTAGTTCTAAACTGGAGGACCCCAGAACCAGGACATTTTGCTACCTTCATGGTGCTCATGCTCTCCAACTAGAAAACTAACATCCAGATCCTCTATGGTCCCACAGTTTGCCCTCAGCACAGGGTTGCTATGTACAGGAGTATAGGTTGTGTGCTGTACAAGCCCAGAGGGCACCATTCAGATGGAATAGGATGAGAGTGATGCCCTGGGAATTGTGCAGTGCAGCAGCCTTGTCTGAGCAGTTAGGCATGAAGTGACCACACCCTTAGGGCACTTGTACCAATGCATTGAGGGAGAGGGATATGGCAGGCTGACTCTGGTGCCTGAGATCAAGGTACTGATCATAACAATAACAAAAATCCTCATGACGACCTTGTTGGGTGATATTAATGATCTTAATATCATCCTCATTTTACAGATGGGGAAACTGAGACTCTGTGAGTTTGGGTAATTTGCCAAGGACGCACGGCTGAAAAGTGGTAGAGCCCCGGTTTGAACCCAGGTAGTCTTCCTCCCCAGCCTGTGCTCTGAGGTAGTGGTGGATCAGCACTGTTTTGTCCCTGGATTCTTCATTTCAAGACTGAGAACTGGATCTGCCTCAGAAAAACCTTGCCAGATCCTAAACATACTGCAGGGGAAGATTTGAAACCAGACAATCTAGGTCAAAGCCATACTCTACTACATACCAACGTGATTTTGGCTCCATCCCAAAGTCTCTCTGGGCCTCCGTTATTTATTCAAATGCACCTTTGATGGTGAGCCGGTCTCGTACACTTACTGGATGCCAAGCACTGCTAAGACTTCAACTGCATGACTTCAGCCCTCATGCAGGTCTTCCTGGGGCCCTTGCTGCATGGGACCCTGGCCTGGCATGGTGTCCAGATAAGGTGTGTGTGGAAGGGCTTTTGAAGCGTCCGTGTTCATGCACACACATTCGTTGGCAAGAGTGCTGATTGCTTGTGGCCCTCTGCTAGGTGACTCACGTGCAGCTCTCATTTACTCCTACAAGGCAGGCACTGCTGTCATGTCCACTTTCAGATGAGGACACTGATACTCAAAGATGAGAAATCCCTTTCTCTGCGATACACAGCTAATGGGTGGTGGATCTGGTTTCTCAACCCAGGCAGGCTGACTGCAGATTCTATTCTTGACTTTAAGTGACCACGCCCAATGGACTCTCCAGATGGCCCTTCTTCACAGGCCCCTGCACACCACCTACCTTTGGCTAGAACACGGGGAGGGGAGAGGTAGAGAAACTCAAGGGAAAGAAATAGCTAATTATCGTGACAGCTGCAGCCTAGAGCATCTGTGATTGGTCCACAGTTTCTCCAAAGGGTGAGTTTTGTTGTTCCCCATGATCCAGAAAATTGGGAACACAGTGGGTGCCAGGGAGGCCAAATCTGCCTTCTATTGAAAGAAGTTAGGCACAAGGAGAAGGCCCTTGGAAGGATGAGTTTTCTCCTTT